TCATTTAGTTCTGGTTTCCCTAGAAGCAGAACTTGAGGAGAGGAGCTTTTGGGGCTCAGGAGTTTGGAAAATGGAAAGCTTGTTATGTGTGATTCTGGAAATGCATAATAAACACATGAGTATTTTCTCTCAAGTTACCTCTAGTGAAATCACTATTTTTAGTTTTATGATTTTTCTTGGTAATAACAAACTATTGTTAGAATGATATATTTATTTTTGCTACAGGTTGGTACCTTTTCTTATAAAAAGAATGTCTGAGAGGCAATGAATAATTTTTCTATATTTATCATATACAAGCAAAATACTCTAGGGGAAAAAATTTCATTTGGCCAATTAAAGAATGAAAGAAAGACAGAAGTGGTGGGGGAAACCATCACCCCATGTGGAGCAAAATTTAATATGAAATCCCAGTAATTTTCTTTCTTTTCTTTTTAATTCTTTTCTTCCTTTTTTTCACTCCTCCTTTTCTTCTTCCTCTTTCTCCTCCTTCTCCCCTCCCCTTTGTTATTACAATTTTTTAAAACTTTGGATTTCCTTTCTAATGCCTCAGATATTTTTTGAGACTGTAGTTTAGAATTGGCAGAGACTATATTTATGAATCTATTGCTAACTTACATGTAGATTTTTAGGCAGTGCATAAACATATATTCTTTGGGCTTATGTAGACTTTTCTGTCCAAAGTATCTTGAATAGGGAGTCCCTTCTTAGCTCTGAAGTTGCTCATATGTATGTTTTTCACAGTTTTATGGCTTTGAAATTGTACATTCACCCAACACATCATTTCCCTAAGAGGAAAACTTGGGAAGTTGGAGAGAAGAAATGACCTTGGCCACAGCATTGTTCCTGGTGTACCCAAGGTTAGAGCCATGCCTTGCTTTCCAGTCCAGGGCACACACTTTGATAATTAAAGTGTTAAGGTTTTCTGGACAAAACAAGAGTCTTTGAGCCTTGGTTTGAGCTGAAACCCAAAGTCTTAAGAGTTAGCAAAAGGAATCTTGTGTCCTAAGATTTTATAAACTAAGAGCCTGGATGTCATGAGCTGGACTTGCCAGTGAGTAGGGGTTTAGGGTAGGGTGTTTAAGGGTTGAAGTGGGAGGGTACAGGCAAATTTTTCTTGAGAGTATCTGATTTCTGTTGCATTTCCTATGAGGTAAAGGAAGATATAACTCTCCCTTCAACTTCAAAGGACAAGGGGTATAAGGGAACCATTTTGGGGGACCTGATCCATGATCCCTGGAGCTTGGTGGTCATAATGATTGGGCTGTGACTAGTGGGAGAGGTTGAGGTTCTCTGTTTAAGGAGGGAATGAGAATTAGAGCAAGAAAAATTGGGCTGCCCTTAGATCTAACCACACATCTACCAATAGCAGGGGCAAAAATATGTATTTCTCAAGGGCCAGATAATGGACTTAAAGAAAGTAGCCAGCCTAGAAATATCTAGACAGAGAGGTGGTATATTAGTTTCCTGTTGTTGTTGTAATAAATTATCACAAAATTGGTGGATTAAAACATATTTATTCCCTCACATTTCTGGACGTCAGAAGTCTGTAATCAAGGAGTCAGTAGGTTGATATGGAGGCTTTAGGATAGAATCCATCCCTTGCTTTCTCTAGCTCCTAGTAGTTGCTGATGTTCCTTGACTTGTGGCCCTATCACTCCTATCCCTGTTTCTGGAGTCTTTGTCAAATCTCCTACCTTCTCTTCCATCTTTGTCAAATCTCCTTTTGCCTCTCCTAAGGATACTTGTGATTACATTTACAGCTCCCTGTACAACCAGGATAATCTCTCCATCTCAAAATTTTTAATCACTTCTGCAAAGTGCTTTTTTTTTTTTTTTTTTACCCATTAGGCCTACAACAGGCTACATCAGAGAGAGTCAGTTGGATGGACCAATAGATGACCAGGGCATTGGAGTTCAGAAAGCCTCCTCCATGAAGTCAATGGGAAGGCATAATTTTTTTTCTGCCTCAGAGACTTACCCAGAGCTACTTTCCAGAAGTCTGGAAGGGATGAAAGTATATTAATTGCATCCTGGGAGGAATCCTCATATGATAGAAAAGGGATCAGCCTGCTGCCTTTCAGCCAAACAATTTTGGGAGGTGTTGTTAACTTTTCAGACCCTAGTAGAATGGAAGCCCCTTTGCCTACAACAGTGATTTCAATAATGCATCTTTTTTAAAAATGGCTTTTCAACCTTCCCACTCTCTTATTTTTGAGGATGCAGATCACCTTCCACAGAAGCTACTGGTACTCAAATGCATGGCTCAGTCTGCTTTGGGAGCTGACAAAGACAGAAAGTTCCTAGGAACCACAAAAGTGAACCACAGGAGTCAACATGGTGAACTTCCATGCCCAGTGGACATCTTCACAGGATGACTTCTGTACTAGTTTAGTCAAATCCTTCCTATTTCTTAAACCATGCTTTCACCACACCCCAGTCCCTTCAACCATGCAGAATCCAGAGGCAAGCAGAGTGGAGAAAGGGGAAAAAACAGTACAGTAAACCACATCCACAATATGTTCCCCTCACTCAGGGGTCCAGACTGAAGCTGGCCAACTGCAGCTGACTTACTGCGTCCAGTTCCTTCTACACACCACTTTCATTTGTCAATCAATTTGCTCTACTAGGATCCCCTTTTTTTCTAGAGGCAGAAACTGTTCATCAGCTAGTATCATAATAGTATAATTCTGCTTTAAGTATCCTCTGCTAGTAGTTATAGTATTTGAAGAAGTAGTCAGAGCATTGCACTGCATGTCTATAAAATAGGAAGAATTCTGCCCAACAGAGTGTGAGCAACCCTAGAAAATGTAAGCAACTCTAGAAAATGGCAAGAACAAGGAGGATGCCCTTATAATGGAGTCTTCTCTCCTGAGGCTCTATAGCTACTGGGACTGCATAGGGCTCATTTTTATTTTCCAGGTTCTTAGCTGAGTGCCTGGGACATTTAATCCTCAGTGATTAGTGAATGGAAAAGTGAGAGGATCTGGAAAGCATCCCCTTATCAGGGCAGCAGATACTGCTGGTGCCCTGTCCCCACCTCTCCAGGCCTTCCCAGTGTTGTTGGCAGGCCAAGCTGCTAACTGCAAGCACCCGCATCTGTTTGTCCAAGGGCTTTCTTTGTTGGCTCCTCCTGTGTATGTGTATGTTGGAAGTGCAAAGAATGAATACACCCTTTAGCACTCCTCAAATTACTGCCAGGAGTTGTAGATACCAGCTTTCTCATTACTTGAGTAGAGTACTATGAGGTACATGCTCTATCCATGCTACCAGAGATTTCTGGTAAGGTTGAGCTCTAGTGGTCCACAGAGGTAACTTTCTCAATAAGATCCTTGTACTGCCCTTCTTCTTACTTATATTTCTTAAGATCTTCACCAAATAAACTACTTACACTCAATCCCTGTCTCATGGTCAGCTTTTAAGGGAATCTTAAGAAAATCACATCACTTACATTTAGAATGTTTGTGGGGCTCTCTGGAGTGAGGCCCTTTCTTTCCCATAGCATCCATTATTCTTCCTGCTTGGTTCAGATATATATTTTTTTTGGTTCAGATATTTTTAAATGAGTAAATTACTTTGTGTGACACTTAAGCTTGATTGTCAACTTGGTCAGATTGAGAGACTCCTGGAGAGGTGATTGGGGTGCTGTACTCATTACGGATTAATCCATGGATTTTCATAGCTGAATGTGCTAATAGAAAATGGAAGTGGGTCACTGAAGGTATGTTTTGGGAGGAATGTCTCTCACTGGTGCTGTTCCCCTGTGTTTGGCTTCCTGGCCACCATGAAGTGAGAAACTTTACTCCATTATGCCCTTTTACCAGAATGTTTCTGTTTTGAACCCTGAACTAACACCTCTGAAACCATGAGTTTAATTAAACTTCCCCTTCACTTGATCTTAGGTAAAAGGCTGAGAAAACCTCCCCTTAACTTACATGTATTGGGTATTGTGTCCCATTATCGGGAAAGCTGACCAATATACTTGATCTAACTCACATTCACTGTGGGCTTGTATACTGGAGAGGGAGAGAGAAGAGAGAGAGGGGAGGTGGTGAGGTGCAGGGAGGAGGGAGAGTAGGAGATGAAGAAAGGGATCCAGGCTTGCAGTGGCCCCATAGCTGCTGTAGAAATTCAAGTCTTCCTGTTTTCTTCTCATGAAGATGACCTTAGTTTGTTCAGAAGTCACTGTCCTGGTCTGATTTGCCTGATATCATGAAAACAGCTACTAAATATTGTTACTTTTCTTTTTGTTTCTATTAGGAGTGACTCTCTTTGGAGACTGTCCGTACATTTACTGTGGGTCAATGTGCTCTTTGCTAAATGATGTGGGGAACAGTACAAAATGGTATTTTGCCATAACAGGGAAATATCAGTGGTTACAGGTAAGAGGCCTTTCCTGCTTTCACCAGTTATCTCAAACTGCTCTTGTGGTAGAAACTGCCGCAGCGGCAGCACTGGATAAAAGGCCCAGAAATGGACAATTTAATGACAAAAACCTCTGAAACCACTCCTGCTTTCAAAGCCTAAAATTTCCTCCAAGGTCTTCCAGGTACTTTTGCTACATTTTACTGTTTCCCACATCATTTTATTATTTATTTTATTTTATATTTTTATTTTGAGTTTATTTCACTGTCGCCTATAGAAAGCTCATTCCTTTTTTTTTCTCAGTTTGTTTGTTTTTGGTACCGGGGATCGAACTCCAGTCCTTGCACTTGCAAGGCAGGCAGCAGAACCACTGAGCTAAATCCTCGCCCCCCACCCCCCCACATCATTTTAAAAATTAACTCTTCTTGTACTTAAGTTGGATTTTTAAGTAGGCAAACAGGATCTTTTCCTACCAAAGCACTCAGCATTTCAGCTGGAGAATTAACTTCAGGGCACAGAAGTCACACAGATTATCAGCCCAGCCATCCCACTATGCTAACTGATTTGACATGAGTTTTTAAAGGATATTCAAAGCTATCAATTATGGCATTCATTCCAGGTACCAAGCCTCCCTTTGCAGACATTATTTAATCTTCCTACCAGCTCTCTGATAGGTATTGTGCTTCCAGTTCTGCAGATCAAGAAATCGAGTTTGGAGAGGTCAAATAGCTAGAGAGCTGTGGAGCTGGGATCCAAGCCTGGCTCTTAACATAAGTCATGGACCTCTTGCATTCCCTTTGCCCATCAATCCCACCCCTAAGCCCCAGCCTCTGATTTGGCTGTCAGGGGAACCAGAGAATCTAAACTTGTCATCTTCTGTCCTAGGAGGCTGGTATCATCTCCCTCTCTCTGTGTGTTCCAAGGGGGATTCCCCAGTGAGTTCAGGCTTCCAGTGAAGGATGAGGAGGGGTTACAATACTTTACAGACCCCAAATGGCTTTTTTTAAGTACCTAAGAACTAAAAGAGCTTTGGTAGAAAGGTCATCCTTGGTGAGGATCCTGGGTCATTCCTATTCCTTCATTTCCAGGCATGGCATGTTGTTGGTCATTAAGGGTGCAGTGGGTCGAAGGATCTTTCCTACAAGATCTGTTTGTGCTAAGTCTCTTTGAAATTTTTGAATTTATGATCTTCTAAGGGGTCTGTATTCCTGCCTTCCCCAAATTTCCCCTTCTTCTCAGTTCAGTATGTCTGTAGGAGCCAAAAAACCCAGCTTGTTTTCTTGAAAGAAGAGGGCATTTTTGTGAGAAGCCACCTTTGTTAACTCAGGACAAGATCACCATGGTGAGAAGCTCTTAACAAAGTTTTAGGTGACCAGTCCCCAGCCTCTCCTATATGGCCCCATTAATTAAGGAAGAAGTGTGAAGTTGTTTTAAAAGGACAGGTCTCAATCTTTGCCTACTTTCCATTACAGGCCCAAGTGGAAAATCTGCAGCAAGCTCTTGATATGGCTGAGGAAATTCTTTATTCAATGAAGTTAGCTTGACATGAATCCATGAGCAGATTTTCTGGTGATCCATATCCTATCTATGGCGATTTTTAAGGAGAAAGATCAGCACGGCAATAATTAGGCCAATCACAAATAAATCCCAGTATGGACCAAGGGTGCTTTCCAATTTCATCCATTTCCATATTGTTGTAAACTGCTGGCAAGAGAGATTCAGTCAAAAACACCCCAGTTTCACACTTCACTTAGAACCATTATCTCCTCCCAAACCTACCACCACCACCACCCTGACATCCCCTTGCTTCCTTCAGTCTTAGAAGACACAATCTTTGCTGGCACAATTATAGCTTTCACAGGGGGCTTAACTACCACCTTTAGAATAACCTAAAAGATTTATAAAATTTAATTTCTACTTTTTTCAAATTATAGCTCTTTGTCATACCACTTGCCACCTGCCATCTGCTTACTAGTCTCAGATTTTGATGGCAAGAGCTATGTTTTTAACAAGTATATATAGCACATGTTACTTTGCTTAAGGCTTTGTACATAGTATGTGCTGAAAATATCTGCAGAATGAATTCATTGGGTGTACTACAAAGTGTCAACACGTACTCAATATAACAAGCAGAATTTCTCTGCCTGGTTAGTACTAAGGCTTTGAATTTCACTTGTCAAATTCAGTACACAAAAATATTTCCCTGGTGGATCTCATTACTTTGTCCCTAACAGTTACTCACTGGAGTCTTCAGAGATTCAGGACCTATTTGAGACAAACTTACATTTAAAAACAGGATATCTCTGAGCAAATGCATAGTTTCCAGTTTCATGAGGGCAAGGAATACAGGTACATTAGCATCTGGACTTGTTTGAGCAGCCATGTCATATAATCTCCTGGCCAAGTGAATGTCCTAGAAATAGAAGAACAGTCCATCCACTCTCATTAGACACAGGTCCTTAAGGGAGAAATAAACAGAAATATCATAATTTGTATTTGGTAGGTAGAATCACCCCACCACAAGGTGTCCATGACCTCATCCCTGGAGCCTGTGACTATGTCATGTAATATGCAAAGGTGGCTTTGCAAATATAATTAGGGTTATAGACCTTGAAATAGATTATTCTGGATTACCCATGTGAACTGGTATCATCATAAGAGCCTTAAACACAGGTCTGAAGTCAGATCAAAGTCAGAGAGATGTGGCAGAAAGAGAAATCAAGGAGATTCTAGGCATGGGAAGGACTCAACTTGCCATTGCTGGAAGGGACCCATGTGTAAAGAAAGAGAAAATATTCAAACACCTGCAAGGAAACAGGGACCACCACCCTACAACTTCAGTGACTTGAATTCACCCAACAACCTGAATGAGTTTGGAAGTGAATGTTCTTTAGAGCCTCCAGTAGAGAACAGAGCCTTGATTTTAGCTCACAAAACCCAGAGGACCCAGTCAAGCCACTTGTAATTTTAACCATGAGATACTGAAACCCTGAGATAATAAATGTGTATTGTTTTAAGCAACTGGATCTGTGATAACATGTTATGACAGCCAGAGAAAACACAATTTCCAAAAAGCTTTCTTGGATAACTATGGAGCAGCTCATATTGGAGAACACTAGATACTAAGGAGAACACTAGATACTAAGTCCTCTAAAACAAATACAGACATTATGGTTATCTTCAAAGTACTTATCATATTTGAAGTTATAAAATTTGTTTATTCATTAGTCTGCTTCCAGACTATTGAGGACAAGATATTGAGATGTCTATTTACCCTCAAATTTCCAGTGCGTATTAAGTGTCTACTACATAGTAGGACTTTGATAATGCTTATAGAATGAATGAGTAACTACTTTGGCTCTCAGGTTAGAATTTCATTCAAGTGACCATACTACTATATTTTCAGGGATTTTTTTCATTAAATTGTACCATGGAAGATACACTTTATTTATTTATTTTTATCTACATATGGCTTATTTTGTTTGGTTTATTCTTGCTTTGTTTCCTCAAACAATAACGGATAGGGTAAGGAGTATTATTTTCAAAGGCTGAAGTTTCCTGAGCATGTCCCAGAATTGTGTTTTGCTTGGGTGCCCATGGATTATTTTCAAAGAAAGGGAAGGAGAGATTTTTAAAATAAATTTCCCTCCAAGTATATATATCTTTGTCCTTTCTGCTCCATCACCTAAGCTTCAATAGTTGTGACTCCTCAGGGCCTTTGCTAACCCTGTTTCTTAGGTAGTGTCTTCTCTCAGCTGCGTTCTGCTTGTCAGTACTTAAATTTTTTCAAAGTTTTGAGATTCTTTGGGCAAGAAAAATGTTCTTGCTTAAAATATTTAAAATTCAGGAGATTGTTTGGAACAAATCTTCCTGGCAACAGATAAAATAGATGCTGTAGAAACTCTAATTTGTGTCTCTAATTCCAACATATTCAGTGGGTGTTGATATGATAGCACCCTGCCGATTATAATGGCCGTGTCAATCCCACATGGGAAAGGCATGTTGACTAGAAGAGGTCATTCAGGGAAAAACAAATTTTATCAATCGCTCAGGCATTCATTCCTATATTAATTTATTTCTCAAGGCAAAACATTACCATTCAGTCACCTAGTTTATAATAAAAAGTAGCAAGAAGCATCATTAAAGTGGGGTGGAATGTGAAAAATATTTCTTTAAAATTCCCAAAGAAAAAAAATTCTGAATGTTTCTGGCTAATTGGGGAAACTCATATAAAACAAACCTTATAGCTAAGCTCCAGAAAAGATTCCTCATTCTTTGACCCTATTTAGTAAAAAATTCAAATCAGTCAAACAAAACATTTCTTCTTGGTAAATAGGAAATGCTCTTTTGAGGGTGGCCCAGGTTCAGTAAATGAGAAGTCCATTGTATAGCTAAACCACCTAGATATAATTTATCTGTGGTATATTTAAATTTATTTTGCTTTAAATTCAATGTTTTAGGAGGTTATGTAAACCAATTTGCAGACTTCTAAAATAACCTGTTTCTAACTAAAATGTCAGGTGTGCCACAGTACTGCTTAGTGTTCAGATGTTCAAAATAGCTTCTTAAATTCAAAGATGCATAATTCTCCAGCAATAAAGTAGGATGCAGGAGTTCTCCAGGCCCAATTCCTTGGATGTCATAAAAAATTCTTATACTAGGAGCAAACATGTGAATGGAAAGGTAATTATTTGAGTAATTTACTTTTTATTATGTCTTTTTTTTTTCTTTTTCTGTGCTGGTGACTGAACTTAGGGTCTTGCACATTTGAAGAAAGTGCCCTACCCCAACCTATCCCTCAACCCTATTTTCTTTCTGTGAATATACCATAAATGAATAAGCGGAAACTGAAGATGTAGAACTGAACAAATAGGAAAAAAGCTGTCCACAAACCCACTGGTACAAAGGAAATTAGTAATAAAACTTTATACACATTCTTTATGTATATATGCTGGATATACATAAGATACATATATTTAATTGGGAAAGTTTTTACTCAGCATAATATTTTGTTTTTTGCTTTCTAACTTGACAATACATTTTAGAAATATGTCATGTTCTAGGATGTCCTTCTAATGAATAATATTTTTAGTAATTGTATGGTATAATAATGACTAATACTCATTAAATACTGTGTACAAATATATCACCACTGTCTTTTAATCATCATGACAATTCCTTTTTTCCCCCTTCCCTTGCCCTCCCTTCAACCCCTCCATCCCTCCCTATTTATAAAGACTGTTTCCATTTTTTCATTTTCTCATATTAATTCCATTCCCTTCTTTCCATTCCCCTACGCCTTCCACTTCTCCTTCCCCTTTGCCCCTTTGCTTCCTATTTCACATTATCTATTATACCTTTTAGTCCTTATTTACACTTTCAGTTTCTCACACTAGAGAAACTATTCGGTATTTGCACATGTGTGTCCTATTTATTTCACATAAGGGTATCGCCTCAATGTCCATCCATTTAGCAATAAATGTCTCTAATTTCTCATTTTTGATGGCTGAGTAGTACTCCATTTTATAAAAAAAACACATTTTCTTTATCCAGTCTCCACTTGATGGGCATTTTGGCTGTTTCCAAGTTTTAGCTATTACAAACTATGCTGCTATGAACACGGGTGCACATATATCACTGTGGTATGATTCTTTTAATTCTCTGGGGAAGATACCCAGCAGAGAAATAGCTGGGTCAAATGGGACTTCCAGTCCTAGTTCTTTGAGGTATCTCCATACTGATTTCCACAGTGGTTGCACCAGTCTACACTCCCACCAGCAGTGGAGCAGGGTTCCTCTTTCGCCACAGCCCCACCAACATTTGTTATTGGTTGATTTCTTGATAGCAGCCATTCTTTCTGGGGTGAGGTGGAATCTCAGCATTGTTTTCATTTGCATATCTTGAATGACCAGTGATGTTGAACATTTTTTCATATGTTTATTTGCTATTTCTACTTCTTGTCTGAGAAATGTCTGTTCATTTCAGATGTTTGTTCTTGGAATGGGTCTTTAAATTTGGGAGGTCTGATTTTTTTTATGTCATCTCCACTCTCTCCTGTTTCTTCATTGAGCCCAATCAGTCTTATGTTATTCTTCTTTGCATCATCTAGCAGCTGCTGGATTGATTTCTCATGTTCCCTTATAATTTTGAAGCAATTTTTCTTTTCCTGGTCACTAACTGCAATCTTATCTTCTATATCTGAAATTCTGACCTCACATTGGCTCATTCTGCTGTGTAGACTTTCAATGGAGTGTTTTGTGTCCTGGAAATCTGTTTGCATCTGTTTTATGGATTCCATTTGTTTCTTATGTTGGGATTCCATCATGTTCCTGAGCTCCTCTCTAGATTTATTAATCATGTCTTGCACTAGGGGCACAATTTCTCCTGTTATCTGAGAAATTATTTCTGATTTCATTTTTTCCAGATCCCCTTTTGTTGCCAGTTCAGTGGGTCCAGGTGGTTGAGTATCAGAGTGTTCCCTGTCATTTCCCTTTGGGGTTGCTGTAGGTGATCTGGAAGTCTGGTTTTGAGACTTATGTACGTGTTTTCTCATTTTAACTGGGGCGGGGGGCTGTTAGCGCCTGCACGGATTTCCTCCTCTGACCTGGGTGAGGTGGGACGGGCTGGGAGCAGCGATAGGGATGGTGACCCAAAAGCCCTTTCCTGTGGGCTGGGAGCAGCGGGAGGGATGGTGACCAGGAAGCCCCTTCCTCTAGACCAGGAGCAGTGGGATGACGGCTCAGAAGCCCCTACCTCTGGGCCGGGAACAGCGGGACTCAGTACCTTGGTCTGGTGGTCTGGTGTCCTCTGCGTCTTTGTAGTCTGGAACCAGGTGGCTGCCTGTCTGCAGCGGGGTGATTCGGTGTCTTCCGCGCGACTCAGGACCTCGGCAGGGCGTGCACAGACCTTCCTGTGTGCAGCCAGGTCTGATTTTTTTAAGTTCTTTATAGATTCGAGATAGTAGAACTTTGTCTGAGGGATAGCTGGTGAAAATTTTTTCCCACATTGTGGGCTGTCTCTTCACACTGATGGTGGTTTCTCTGCTGTGCAGAAGTTTTTAGTAAGAAGAGATCCCACTTGTTGATTGTGCTAGTTCACGGGCAACTGAGGTTTTGTTCATAAAATCTTTTCCTCCACTAATGTCTTCAAGAGTTCTTCCTAAACTCTCTTCCAGCTGGTTTACTGTTTCTGTTTTAATATTTAGATCTTTAATCCATTTAGATTTTAGTTTAGTATATGGTGAGAGATATAGGTCTAGTTTTGGTCTTTGGCAAGTTGAAACCCAATTTTTCCAGCACAATTTATTAAAGAGGCTATCTTTCCTCCATTGAGGGTGTTTGGCTCCTTTGTCGAAGATGAGACAGCTGTGTGTGTCTGGAGTTGTTTCTGCATCTTCTAATCTGTTCCACTGGT